CCAAACTCTATCAAATAAACCAGCATGGAATAAATTCCTGTATGGAAATTCTAATTAGAACTGATTCTTATTGTGAAATCCTGGCATGCTGCTACTTCTTCAGCCATCCTTGATTTCAAATGGCTTCCTCACCACACAAAAAAACAAAAACAAAGCAAAACAACAACTAATAACCTCATGCTCCTTTTCTATATTATTTTTCTGATTGTATACATTTTGGTAGCAAAGTTCTCTTCACTTTTGCTCCTAAGATATTCCATACATTACTGTGTAGATAGATATTGCAATGTAAACAGTAAGGAACTAACAACAGGAAATGCATCTGATTAAATTATTAGCAAAATTTATGTTGCAATCCGAATGTACGTCTGTGAAGTTATTCTTCAGCATAAACAAAGTAACCCACAATACAATCTGGCTGCTTTACAAACATCCTAAGGCTTGCTGAGATCATTTTTGTAAAGTATAGACAAGCTTTTGTGGGAGTGACACCAGGCTTTGCTAGTTCCGCTTCAACAACGATACAGAATGAGGTAAAAACTTGTATTGGGAGCAAGGAATTTGGCTAATGAGAAAAGCCTGATTCCTTCCTTCCTTCCTGGGAGGAGAAGGACAAAGAGAGCTGGATGGAGACAACGCACATTCATACAACACACAATAAGAACATTTTTAAAAAAAATGTCTTATGTGATCTGCGGCTCTGTTGTAGAAGCGGGGAGATTTCAATACATCTATTCATTTCTGCCGCTACTTTTTTTAGATAACAAAAACTAGTATTAGAATAAATCGTTTAAAATAACGATTTAAAAAATAACGTCTGAATAGGTTTTCCAGAATATAGTGCGATTTAAAAGCACCTGAACACAGCCGCTAAGCTGAATCGGAAATGGTTTGTTCCACCATCGTAACTTCCCCACATCGAGCATTGGTATGGCTCAGGCACACGGCCTGTGACGCCAGCAGCCCAGTTTCTGCAGCTAGCACCCCGGGTAAGGCGTGATCGTGGCTTCGTGGCTAGGGAACCTCTGGGGTTGCCCTTTGGGAGGGTGGAGGACGGCGGGTGGTGGGTCAAAAGAGCAAGGGGGACAAGGTGTGGTAGTTTGCCTGGGGCAGGATCAGGGCCGGCTGCTCCTAGGCAGCAGGAGGCGATCCTACTGCATTTTCATCAGAGGTAGATGCGCTCCATTGCGTGGATTTCGTTTCTCCGGAATGTGTTTGTGCACTCGCGCAGATTTAACCAAGGAAGGCAACACTCGGTCCCGGTGTCAAGATGCTTCGTCTCGTTCGCAAAATTACAGTGTCGTTGAGCTCCTGCTGGGACTTTTGGCGCATTGCAACTACAAACAAAATCCTGGCTCCCTTCAGTCCCCATTTTGAGATCCCTGGCTGCGTGATTTAAACACTTCAGGTTGAATTAACGCAGGGTTGAGTTAAACATGCTCAGGGGTACGATGCACATGTAATCGTCGTCACTTTGTTATCTGCGGCTGCCGTTTTAAACTGAAATCAACGTTTTGACGGGCAAAATTGAAATGCTTTAAATTAATAAAAACGGGAAGGAGGAAATCTCAACCTGTTGATGTATCTCGTTAAGGATTGCTATTAAATGCTCCCAATGACTCAGTGGAATGAGTGGGTTCATTAGTTGGTATTTGAACAGGAAATCCCCAGGAACCTCCAGAAATGTAGATATTAAAAAAAATGTTATTATTACAGTGTTAACAAATTCATATTAGCCTGCCCACATAGGCACCAGTAACTGAGTCTGATTCGAGGAAAGATTTACTTTTTAAAAATGTAAGTCTTCCCACTTAAAGATTGCAGAATGCAATCTTGTGAAACAAAGGTTTAAAAAGTCTGAAAATGCCTTTAAAATATTGGCCAAAAGGCCAATACGTACAATCAGAAAAGATATATTTTCCATTATTCCTATGGTAATGGTTGCTTTTACTTTCTGAAGTTTTAAGCCTGTTGTCCAAGCTCAAAGGATTTATTTTTCAACTTAATCCTAGTAATATGCAGAGTAGCCTCTTGTTTTCAAAGACCATCTTCAACTGCAGTGATCAAGAATTAAAAGAGCTAATATTACAGTGTCCTGCCCTTCTCTATTATTCAGCTTCAATTCTGAAGGAAAGACTAGATGAACTATTGAAGGAGGGAATTTCTATAGAACAAATTAAAGAGTCTCCCGCTGTGTTAGAATTATCAACAGAGATAATTCAATATCGGATTAAAAAATTAGATGCCCTAGGATATAATCTGAAGAATGGAACTATAAAATATCTCAATGGAACAAAAAAAGATTTTGAAACTACCCATGGAATGATACAAGCAAAAAATGAGAGACCCATATATAATCCAGTGGCTCCTTTGAATATTGAAGATTAGTTTCCAGAACCTGCTTAATAAAAAGACAGACTGGGTTGTCTTTCACAATTCAAATAAATTGGATTTAACTGCTACTTAGAAAATGGAATTTTTATGCAGGCCTTTTTTTTCCTGAATCGGTGTTTCTAAACATGCAATTCCATCATGGAATTCATAGGATCAGACTAAAAGGCTGTCTGATCCAACATATTGTTCCTACAGTAGCCAACCACATTTATATGTGAAATCTACAAGCTAGGCACTAGTCCAATAGCATCCACTGCTCATGTCCTCTAGGAACTAATATTAAAAGGCACTTTCTGATATGGAAGTAATACATAGCAAGTATGCCTAGAAACTACAGATAGTCCTATATTCCATGGATTCAATTTCTCTTCAAAACAAATTTAAGACATGTGAGATAGGAGTCTGTAGTTTCATGTTGCATGAAATAATACGTTTATTTGCATCTAAAGGTCTTTTACTTAAGAGTTAGGAAATAAATATTTTCTTTCTCTATTTTCTGCATTTCTTGTGTAGATGTAGGCTTTTTTAATCGTTTAGAAGTGCTTTTGTAAATTTCAACATTTTAACTTTTCATAAAACCTATTATTTATTAAATTTCTATGCCACTCATCTCCCTTACAAGGTGACTCTGGGTGGCTCCAGTCCTTCGATAATTAGTTGTCCTTTTTTTGCCCCTGTTAAGGATATTATTGATACAATGTTGGCTTATATATTTCCTGGCCAACCAATTAGGCAATAACCATTTCCGAACAGCCCCTTCTCTTTTTAAGATGTAAGCACCAGTATAGGAAATAGTACTTCAATATAGTTTGTATAAGAGTATTATAAGATTGTAAACAATATATATATATACATTATTTAGGAAAAGGAATGAAGTTTTAAACTTCTGCCCTGATAGACAAGATGCACCCAGCATTAGTTTAAGTTATAATATACTTGCTTTGTGCAATATTTAAAATAAAATTTAAACCTATTGAGAATATATTCAGTACATTGTTTATTTAATAAATTAGGTTAGATTATGCATAATTGAGTGATATGTAATCCCTGCTAATTAGAAATACCTACATGACTATTATGTGCCATCAAGTCAGTGTCAAGTCTTAGTAACCACATAAACTTTTTCTTTCACTGATCTCGAGTATATGCATGATCTATTTTAGCAGTATACTCTGTGGCATTTTAAATTATTTGGAGTCATTAACCTGGTACATATGCATTCAATGATTTTAGGACACAAAGGAACAGAATGGCACATCTCAACTACATAGAAGCCTGGCCTTGAATTTGCATATAGCACATACTATGCCTATTTAACTATGCTATTTTTCTTCCTAAATATCAAGCAAGACAACTTTTAGTATTTAGAACTGCATGAAAATTCATGCATTTAAAAAGAAACCCATGTATAGAAATGGGATGAGGCATTGGGTTTTAGTATTCTTTATTTCATAGGTTCTACTCTATTGTCCCCAAATAGTTTTTTCAGCTCATTGCTGAATGATATGCAATCAGGAATCAATACAAAAAAAAAGAGGATGATATTTCATTATGTCATTCTGTCCATCAGTAAAAAGACACTTTATGGGATCAATGGACATGTCTGGAAAGCATCTCAAAGTAGTTGGCATGGGAATGTTACAAGGCACCCATTTATCAGAAAGCACAATGAGATTTGCTTCAATGAAACACAGATGCCTGCTGGGCAGTGGTGAAATCCAAATTTTTACCGGTTCTGTGGGCAAAATCTCCATTCCCTCCCCACTCTGGGGCCAGCCAGAGGTGGTATTTGCCAGTTCTCCGAACTGCTCAAAATTTCCGCTACCGGTTCTCCAGAACCTGCTGGATTTCACCCCTGCTGCTGGGGCATATTGACATTGCCAGCTTACTGATACTAGATCTCTCTATTTGTTATTCTAAGCTTATGAATCTAGATATCGTACCTTAAGATCTCATTTATCATTAAATGTCAACGTCAAAGAAATAACAAATGTCAGTTCTTTTAAGTACATCAATATGTTTGCAATTTTTATGCCTGTGGCTAATCTTTCTATAGATATACATTCCATATGCAAACCATTCTGTGCTTGGAACACAGGAACCTTTAATACATATTTCTAAAAATAACGCATACACGTTTTATTCTTTTTATGTATATTTTAAGATACACATTTATTAGGGAATTGGTTGAGTAGTAAAATGACAAAGTATCTAAATGCTAGCCAAGGTATCCAATAAGAAGATTGTCTGATAAGCTTTCTAATCTAGGCACATTGTTAATCCAGTCACCTAATTAAATACTATTTACAAACAAACTCCTAATTTATATAGTATCATTGATAAAACTTGTTTTGTAATGAAGTTTTTTTTAGTTGAAGCTTTAATGATGCCTTTGGGCCATAAAATATTTTTTATGTTCTGGTGAGCATATGAAGTTGCTTGCTATTGTCAAGCTAGCAAATTCAGGTCAGAAACCAACAGCACACTTGATAATTCTTTTCAACTAGTGATGCCAAGAATTAAATATAAATCCTTTCTATGCACAGTATATTTTATCACTGAGCTATGGATCTTTGGCCGGTGAAAGACAAATTGTAACAATACAATAAATTATATCAGATTAATTTAATTTATGAATATGTAATTTTAGACAAGGGACAGTTTTTGGTCATTACTTTTACAAGACACCATCTGTTTTAACCTAGTGTTTATAATCACAACTATTCCAACCAGGTTTGTATGTTTTTAACACATATTTTAAGAAACATTGCAAACAGAATAGTCTTGTGAACTTCAGTCTCTTTTAAGGACTACCAAAATATTATAAATTCAACAGAAACATGCTAAAGAGCTTCTAAATGAAACTGAAAGATATCAATCCAATAAATCCACAATATAGCCCACTGAGCACAAAGGACTACCAACCCTGATTTAATGGATTAGGGATTAGAAACAAGACAGACTGAAAGAGACATATCTATGTCTTGCTTAGAAACTTTGAAAATGTATGCACGAAATACATTTCTCTGCAAATCACTTGTTTCTATCATTATTGGTCATGGGTGCCATTCAGCAAACGTACCTGCTGAGGTATTATTTGTAGAAAATATTTTATGTTAATTATCATTGAAAATATCAAGCATAATTCATCAAACTCTACAAAATCTCTAGTGATAATGGGTGATACTCAGGCAAACAGATTATACACAGCAACAGCAGTTGCTGTATTTGCATTATGTACTCCGGAAATAAGATTGTACACATTTGTACCTTGAGGCTAGAAACCACAGAAGTGTTTTTATTTTACAGCTGAAAGTTACTCAATATTGTCTTAATGTAAACTTGGAATTAATTTTCAGTTAAGCAACCTAACAACATAAAGGGCTTTTCATTTTGCAGGTGAGAACATCAGTACGCTACACCTGAGATTTAGCAGTCTGTCTTTGTCAGTATCAACAGATTAAAAAAAGTGTAGAACTCCTTCTACAGACTGCTTTGAAATGACAGACATTACAAAAACTTTAAAAGATTCTCTTAAGTAAAAAATAGATTGTTTTTCACCATAAGGCATGAATGATTTGACTCAATATACTATACACACATATACATGCGTGTGCGCACACAAACAAATCCTTGTGACAGTTGACTTCTAAAGAATTTAGTGTTTATAAAAATAGTTTGAAAAAGCAAAGATACACAAGGACTCTATAGGGAGTTCAAGGACTGTTTTCCAAAAAAATATAGACATCATAGGCTTGAAGCTAGAACATCAATGTATCTGTGTATGACAGAGGCAACCAATTAAGGGCATAATCAGGCTAATATTTAAGCACTTTAATGCTGAAATTATTTTAAAGGGAGCTATTATCATCAGACCGTGAAGTGCTTAACTTTTTGCCAAGTCATTCCCTCCACTTCTATTTTCACATTTTTAATTCAAGATATCGAAAAGTGAATTAATGTTCAAACGTGAGCCATTCCTTCAGATCCATGTACTTGATTCCTTTTTTTTTTTTCAATCAAGTGTAACCTTTCACCAGACAAGTTCCTGAAGAAATCTAAAGTTTCTGTGATACCAGGCTGCTAATGTCCCTTGCAGGAGAAAGTTAATTCTTTCAGTTCTTTAGATATTCCTCCAGAATGGTGACCTTACAGTAGTCCAAATCTTGTAGGTCCCATAGCCACATAAGGTCCTCAACGAAACAGTACTAAATTTCTTTAATCAGATTTATCCTTTTTCTTCCCAGTTAAAGGCACTTTGCTTGAGATAGCAGATCCTACAGCTGTAACGCTTCCTGTCACAACTGAAACACTTCCTTTAACTAATCCTATTCCCATGGAAGGCACAGCAGTTACTGCTGTTTTGGTCACTTCAAAGCTTTTCCCTCCTATCCATGCTACGCCACCAATTGTGGCACCGACAGCTCCTTTGGTTATGCTGAAGAGGCCGCCAGTCACCCGGGTAAGCATGCCAGGCTGTTGTTGTGGATGATCTTTTACTGAATCTAAAAGAAGAGAAACAGTGTCAGTATTCAGAATTAGTTTAAATGTGGGGGAAATTAAAGTCCCAGTGAAATTTTGCTGTACAACAGGGGTGTCAAACTTGATTTCATTGAGGGCCGCATCAGGGTTGTGTTTGACCTCGGGGGCCGGGATGGGCGTGGCCAGCTCAACATCACTCGTGTTGGGGGCGTCTGTGGTGGCCCAAGCACTCTGCCAGTGAAAACAGGCTCCTGAGCTCCGTTTTTGGCTGCAACAGCCTCCTGCAACCCTCTGCCAGCGAAAACGGAGCCTGGGAAGGCCGTGTGCAGCCCTCCCAAGCTCCGTTTTTGCTGGCAGAGGCACCATGGGCCAGTACTTCACTGTTTCCAGGGCGGCTCTGTGGGCTAGATCTTAGCCCCCCACGGGCCAATCCAGCCCCTGGGCCTTGAGTTTGACACCCCTGCGCTACAACAACTCTATCCTATGACATATCACCAGCAGAAGTACACTTTTTTGGGGGGGGAAGGGGGAATAGCAAAGACTCAATATTTTCTAAGAATGCAAAAGAAAGTTTGGATTGAGTTTTGGTTCTTTAATTATCATTGTTATTAATTAAGGGATTCATCATTTTTGTGTACTAATTACAGGATAGAAAATCGTTTCAGAGCAGAATCTGGGCTCTTTTGAGATACCAATAGAGGAACTGATTACCATTTGCTGGGTTGAAATACGTTAAACTATGGATTGTTTTAATGATGGCATGTTGACCAATAAAATGGCAAATTATAAATCATTATCTATAAGGTGTCAGTGTTCCAAGTAATGCAGCCATAGAAAACAGAACTCCAGAATGAATATATTCATACACCAGGAAATTACATTATAATTTGTTAATTCCAGTCAGGGACTCTTTAGATACCTGACATAACTTATTAAAATTTATTCCTAAAAGGTGAACTCAGCATTATAACCATTTACTACATGTTACTGGGTTTGAAAAGTTAGCATATTATGCTTTTTAGTAGAACCAAGCACCTTTCCAGGATAGCAGAAAAAAACCCACTTCATTCACTTCCTTCATCACTCCTGTTTCATTAATTGAACTTATAGTTCAATTTATTTCAAAAGCTGGAGGTAAATCTAAGAAATCCAAATTTCTGAATCCTTTACAGAATATATTATCATGCAATTTAAACAAACAAAAGAGGCAGCTTTTTCACAAAATCACATCTACTGAATACTTTCTAATAAAAATCCTTTTTTTAAAAAAAGTGAAGATAGCTGTTCATTGTTAAACTACATTGTCCACCACAATCAGCATAGCTAGAAACATGCATATATGTATGTATTTGTATGTATGTGTGCAGACGCATACATACACATACAGTCTATGTATCCAAAATGAAAGAAAGAAAACATAATTTGACAAACATATCCACCTTATGTGTTAACCTTTCTTAATAACAAAACCATTCCGAGAGTGGAAAGCAGTTATACAATTACCCTCCATGTGAATGGAAAGCCAATGGTGGTAGAAATTCTGAAAAAAGCAAGACTGCCTTGGAAGTCTGAATAACAGGTTTCATTTGTGCAAGTAAATCATCTACTTGCAATTATAAATTAACAAGCCATTTGATTTAAACCAAGCTGCATAGGTTTTCAAAGCAGTGCTCCCTGCTCCCTTCTCAGCAGCAATATCACACGTCATAAATTATTTTAAAAGGACAATATATTAGGAGCAACATTAATATAACAAGATTCTGCATAACCTTAGGTTATTTTAACTATTATTAGCTTGGATATTTAATCATGAGAAAAGCAGACTAGTAATTTTAGTGTGTTGCCATGAAGTAGCCATTGAAGGTCTTGGGTGACCAAATTATCCTGCACAACAGATAACAAACATATCTTTAAAAGTAAAAAAAAAAAAAAAAAAAAAGGCAACGTATTTGTAATTTACAAAGTCAGCTTTGATCATGAAATTAAAATCTGCTTATAGAGAATAGAATAACAATTTGAAAAGAACAATTTACTGCATCATATTTGAGCAAACAGCACTGTTTTGGAAAATATACCTTCTGGGGGTTCACTGTTAAGATATGGAGGAACATCTTGCTCATCCTTCTCTGTCTGGTTCATTATTGCCTGAAAATTAAAAAAAATGTATAGTTTCTAGGTTAGTCCAACTCTTTTCTATGTTCTTTTGAAAAGTTACTCGCTAGCAAGTCAATGAAAGCATATGCTGGGACATGTTTTCCATGGTAGCCCAATCACCGATACAATACTTTATGGGTGAGGGTAAGAGGTTCATTGCCTGAGCTTGTGGGTTGGTTTCTGAACGTTTTGTTACCAGGCTAGGTAACATCTAGTAATGAAAAGTTCGGAAACCAACCCACAAGCTCAGAAAATGACCTTCCACCCTCATCCTACACCCGAGCTATAGATATTTAGGACTATCGCATACGTTAAGAACTAATATTCTAGAGCATTGATGGTGAAGGTATAATAACATCCCATAGCTGACAAGCCACAATGTTTTGGGTGACACACCAGTGTTTACACCTACATTCACCAACTGTTCTCAAAAGCATATCTTGCTATCATGTGATTTTCTAAGACTGGGCAAAAATGGGTATGTTCTTGAGTGGCCTCTGGAGTCTCCAAAAATCCTTAAGAAAAGGATATGCTTTCGCACAGTTTCTGGAGGCTGCAGAAGAGCATTCTCCGAAGCCGCTTCAAAAATGAAGAACTTGTGAGACCCGGAGAAGCTCTAGGTAGGCTGTAGGGGCCTGTTAGTAGAAAGAGGACACTGCCAGAAGGTAAGCAGCACATGGCATATCCTGGGGAACGGTGCAAGGGGACCAATGAGGAAGGAGATAAGAGAATTGTTTCTCTTTTGTTTAGTGTGTATGTATATGATATGCCAGCAGAGTCATTTTAGGCATTTTATGAATTTTTGGAACACCAAGCCCAAAAGATTCACGACTGTACTAGAGGCACTTATGCTATGTAACAATATGCAATTTCCAATGTTTCCTTCAGGGCCTAGGACAGGGATGGCTAACCTTTTTGCTGTTGTGTGCCAAAAGCGGAGGGAGTGTGTGTGTGGGGGGGTTTGCGTGTGCACGTGCCTACACCCATAATTCAATGTGCCCCGCCCCCCACGCATGCATGTGTGACCCCCCGCACTCACCCAGCTTTTGGCATGTGATGGCACCGTGGGCCCGGTAGGCCCATTTTTCGCCCTCCCCAGGCTCCAGAGCCTTTCTAGGAACCTGGGGAAGGCGAAAATGGCCTTCCCCACCCCCTGGAGGAAACAGACCGTTTCCCACGTGCCGGAGCTGAGCTAGGACAACGCTCGTGTGCCCACTGATTTGGCTCCGCGTGCCATCTGTGGCACGCGTGCCATAGGTTCGCCATCACGGGCCTAGGATATAACCTTTAATGTGGAAAAGAAAAAATATTATCTAATTCAGTCAGGATAATTTGCATTCTTGTTTCAAGCAGGTTGCTAGTTGAAAATTTCTTAAAGCCCTGCCTTACTCGAAGTAAGGAAATAATAATTCTGTATTTTCAGCTGTGCTGCAATAGCAAAAAGCTGTAAATCGAGCCACAAATATAACTGGTTGAATCAAGATCTTTTACAGTAAATCCTTATATAATAATTTAACGAATTCTAAATTTAGAACTGATTTCTTCTTTTAAACAAGAAAAACAAGTAGGCCAAGCCTCATTCTCAATACCTTGTGTTATTTTAATAATTAGAGAACAGTTGAGCCCATATTATCTTGAGTATCAAGTGAGTAGAATATGGAAAAGTTAAGACTGCGGTTATGTCATTTATTAATCTATCACTACAATAAATTGTAATGTGCACAATAAGAATACTGAAGTAATGTTGGAGTTGGAATTAGGACTTTGACATATTTGTGTAAAATTTAAAAGCAGCATGATAAGTTCAGTATCAAGGTGAAAATACGGTACATTCAGTGAATAATGTATCATTAAAGTTATTATAATAACCATGCAATACTTTAAAATAACAAAAGGATTTGCATCTAAATATGACTCAACTATTCAACTCAGGAAATTTCATTTCTATTTCATTCAAGATAAAGATGTCAGCAATCTGAAATGGCCTATCCTTATACAAATCAGATTTGCCACATGAAAGCATTGCACAACCAATACTGTTAAGTAACATCTGATTACAGAGGCAATTCAATAAGGCTGAGGGGAGAAGTACTACCCTGGAGTAATCTTTCATGAACCTTATTCAGGATTATCAAGATCATATGGAATTTCGCCAAGTAACGTGGTATTAACATAACTCTCAACATGGAAAGTAGAATTCAATAGGAATAACTGTATACTGCCTACAGCAGTGGTGGGTTGCTACCAGTTTGGGTGAACCAGCAGCGGCGGAGGCTCTGCCCACTTGCCCGGATGTCATCAAATACCGGTGGCAAAGGTAAGTGAAACCCACCACTGGCCTACAGATTAACAGGACATAACAATAGAGTTGTATTTATTGGGTATCCTACCTGACAAAATAAAAATGAATATATTTATTTGATTATACATGTAATAACAGCTGCAAGAATTGTTTATGCACAAAATTAGAAATTAGAAAAAATACCTTCGGAAGATGAAGTAATAAGAAAGATTTTAGATTGCGCTGAAATGAATCAATTAACTTTATTGATTAAAAATAGGGAAGAATCAGAATATTTTAAAACATGGAATTATTTTTACTGTTGGTTGCAAAAGAGATATAAATGATTAATTGCTTAAATATGTATAAAAAACCTGATAGTAAGAATATGATTATAGTAATCAATTCGTACAGTGGTTTGAAGATGATTGAGACAGAATAAACTGCTGGTACAAGAAGAATAAAATGAACTGAAGAATTTACAGTGGAGGGCTGATTGATGTTTTAAATGTTTGTTTTTTTTAAAAAATAATAATAAAAAACTTTATGTAAAAAAAACACCAGGACATAACAATAGTTTCCACTTCCTGTCCTTAAATTAGAACACCTTGCTTTTTGAGCTATTTTAAAAGGTCACATGACTTATCTGATGCTAACAGGTGAATTGTTTTATGTGCTTCCCATTGCTGTCTCAACATGGGTTTTCTTTAACATACTCTGAAGAATTAAATAGACACCACTATAAAGGTCTTTTACAGAGTTATACACATTTCTTCCTTCTGTAAAAAGATAGCAAGAACTGAACAAAGAGAGTGTTTTTTTAAACCTCTTTTGGCTTTTTAAAACTAAGAGTCAATTAAATATTGAACTCTAAAATCTAGTAAGTAGCCAACTGTCATTAGAATATTTTCAAAATCATTTCTACAGATTTATACAATATAAATCAAAATTTTGTTTCATGTGACTTACATACATAATGCCTTGTAGTTTCAGAATAACAAGTTCCCTCTTGTTTTCTTCTAATTAAATAACATTACCACAGTAAAATAATTTTGAATTGCCCAACCACCCCTGAAAGATTAACCTAACTCAACAAAAACAATGTATCTAACAAGATATACAGTCTAGAAAAACTGCTGAGCCAATTCAACAACTACAGCTTAGACAATGTGATATCTGGTAATGTGTGTTCCTTTAGCGACACAGTTGTTCAGTTGCTATTTTTAGCCTACATGCTTAATGAACAAGCTTCTTCCCCCTCTGGGACATTTTGATGTAACTATAAAAACAGGCAGCTGTGCAATGCTTTAATATATACCTCATTATTGCTATGCAACCCAATATGTATTTCGTTGTATGGGTATACTGTGTATATACGTACAATGACAATAAACTTTATATATATAACGCAATTGAAATTACAAATACCAAATTATAAAAAATTGCTAAAAGTCCTATTTATTGTAGCAAATAACAATCTCTTGAAAGAATTAATGTTGTTGTTTAATAGTTTGCAATAATATACGAATAGGTTAGAGAAGCCTGCAGACACTGGAGAGATTCTGAGAAATGCAGTCCCAACTCAGTTGGAGAATGTCAAACTGGGAAGAGTAAACTGGAATCTAGGACTGTGCAAGGCTTCAAACTGATTTGAAAAAGGTGTTTTGAAACATTTGCAAGATTTGTGACCCATTAAAGTGGCCTGGAAATTCTGGAAAAAAAGTACAGGTGTTTTAATGAGTCATAGACAAGGGCTGTGTTCAAACTCTAACAAGGCCTAAAGAATTTCTCCCAAATCAAATCCAAAGCACTGCTGAGCTCTAGTAGAATATAGCTACAAGGTGAAAAATTGTACTAGACAATTACCATAAATATATGCCTTTCTCTGCTTCTGCTCATGGTTTTTACATGCTATAATGACTACACAACATGTAGAAAGTTATGTGCAATCATTTATACGGCCTGGTATGTAACAAATGAATTTATGACAATGTTGTCAGGAAAGTCTGTCATCTTTCAATCATGCAAAGATGAGCCTTTATTTTCATTGCTCGCTTTAGCATAAACATAACAATCATCTTTACATCCTGTAGATTCTTTCACATATCTGTAGAAAGTCTGTTTAATTATAATTAACATTCTTCGGCTATGAACTCACACTTGTCTCAATTCCTTCCCTCATCCATAACAAACAGCACAAAAATCTTGTAGCATAAATAAGAAACAACAATATGAACTCTTCAGACTGCCCAAGTCCTTTGGACTTAGCTAATAAATCAATGTAACATATAAAACCCAAAATATGATTTTGTTTCATTTCTCATTTCTAGATGTTTCCTATCCAAAGTTTTGCAAAAGAAGTCTTCATATAGGTTGGATGAGTATTGCACTATGCAATAATAAAATATTTGACTCAAGTTTTATCTTGGTTTTTTGTAAATATCCGTATTGTATCTTTTAACTGCTTTTAATTGTATTCTTTGAATATTCTTTTTGTGCAGCAAAAAAGGTTTGAAATAATCTGACACCACAGTTGAAATACAGATCTCCTCTATACAGATTACTCCTAACTATGCCAACTAAAATACAGGTAGTCCTCAGCTTACAACCACAATTGAACCCAAAATTTATGTTGCTAACTGAGAAATTTGTTAAAACGAAATTTGCCCCATTTTACAACTTTTCTTGCCACCTTTGTTAAATGAATCACTGCAGTTATTAAATTCTTAACACGGTTAAGTGAATCCGGTTTCTCCACTGATTTGCTTGTCAGAAGGTTGCAAAAGGGGATCACATGATCTTGGGACACTGCAACTGTCATAAATGTGAGTCAGTTGTCAAACATCTGAATGTAAATCACATAACTGTGGGGATGCTGCAACGGTCATAAGTATGAGAAATGGTCGTCATCTTTTTCAGTGCCATTGTAACTTTGAAAGGTCACTAAGTGAACTGTTGTAAGTTGAGGACTAGCTGCATGTCCTTAAAATATCCAGTGTGAATGTAATATACATGTGAATGCTCGTAGTAGTTTGATTCTTAAACTGGATGAGGTAGAGAGGAAGTTGTTATTCTGCCCAAGATATTCCTGGAAACATATTTTTTTCCTGCCTTGTCGTCTACCACTAACATTTAGGCTTTCTCACTATACACAAACAATTAACATACTTTATTAGTATTCATACTTACCAAATATTACTGTATTCAAATGTCCCAATGTGATTTTCTATATAAAATCAAAGAGAATTATATACTTAAAACTTTTTAATAAAAAGATTTATCAAAATGTTACTATACAAGAAATCCAAATATAACACAGACTAATATCTGCAACTCAAATTATGTGAAAGGTGAGTATATCTTCCAGAAAAATATTTGCAGCAACCATTGAACCATTGAACAACTGATAAAGGAGAATATTTGTAGCTCAGAGTTGTAATGAGGGGTCCTTGGTGCTCTCTGAGCCTCAGAGAGGACCATGGACCCCTCACCACTGAACTACCCATTTTCCCCAAAATAAGACATCCCCTGATAAGAAGACCAATTGGGCTTTTGAGCGCATGGCAATAAGGCCAAGTGCTTATTTCAGTGTTAAAAAAATATAAAACAGGGTCTTATTTTCAGGGAAACACGGTAATTTTAAATCAAGATTCTGGATTCATGAAAATATGATATTCTAAGCAAAAAACTAGATAATGATGCTTTAGGTAAATAGTGTTTCTACACTGCTTTTTTTTAAAGCAGCATACAAACATTTTAAACATTTGCTCAGAATTATATGGTTGTCCAGATTCTCCTCAGCAGTCCTGTTTAGATTGTGTAATTAACAAATTCAATTAATGTTCGGTTTCCACAAAATCTGACCTGATTGTCTCTTTATTGTTCAGAGATCTGCAGATCTATCATTATTTTTAGAATCCTGATTATTGTGTTCATTCTTACTAAAATAGAATAGTAAAAAAAAGATAGATTCTCATTTCCAAGGTCAGTAAAATGAGGATCCAAATTGTTGGGGGAAATATGTTGACTCTATACACCACTCAGAGAGGTCTGTTAAAGCACTGTGAAGTGGTATATAAGTCTAAGTGCTATTGCCATTTCATTTCTTGCATCGAGAAAAGAGTTTGCAGTCATAGCAGCTGATATTTGGGGACAATTAAAACATTACTGCTATCATTATACCACCCTTTCCAATTTTGTGGTAGCCAGATATTTTGAATTACAACCTTTATAATCACCAGTGACTGTTGAATGGCAATTCCAGAAATTGTAATCCAAGATATTTTTAGGCATAAATTGGAGAAAGCCGCATTATACACTGAAGACCCTTTGATTGGAAAAGCAGTTTTAAGTTCAATAGAACTTTTCAATACCAAGAGTCCAATACAATATTTCTTCACTTCACTATTTTATCGGGACTCCTTATGCATGGTCACTCATGCCCTCGTCACTTCCCGCCTGGACTACTGTAATGCTCTCTACATGGGGCTCCCCTTGAGGAGCACCTGGAGGCTCCAACTGGTCCAGAATGCGGCCGCGCGGGTGGTTATGGGAGCGACATGGCGCTCCCATGTAACACCTCTCCTGCGCAAGCTGCACTGGCTCCCGGTGGTCTTCCGGGTGCGCTTCAAGGTATTGGTTACCACCTTTAGAGCGCTCCATGGCTTAGGACCTGGGTACCTACGAGACCGCCTTCTGCCACCGGTAGCCTCTCACCGGCCAGTACGCTCCCACAGAGAGGGGCTCCTCAGGGTGCCATTGGTCAAACAGTGTCAACTGGCAGCCCCCAGGGGGAGAGCCTTCTCTGTGGGGGCACCTGCCCTTTGGAACGAGCTCCCCCCGGAGATACAGAGGATCCCGGATTTACGCACTTTCCGCCGTGCCCTCAAGACTTTTTTATTCCAACATGCTGGGCTGGCCTAATTCTTTTTAATTGCTTAATTTTAATTTGCTTTTTTAAAAAGGTGTGTTTTAATTAGTATGGGCCAAATTTGTTTAATATGTTTTAAATTGTTTTTTAAATTTTATATTGTTTGTGTTTTATCTTTGGCTGTTCACTGCCCTGAGTCCTTCGGGAGAAGGGCGGTATATAAATCCAAATAAACCTAAACCTAAACCTTATCAAGACAGCTTATAAGTAAAATTAGAAAAGCCAATTATTAAAATATTAAAACGAAAGCCATTTTGTTTTTCTTTAGAAATTTGCCAAACTCAATTCAAAGAACCATTTTAAAATCCCTCATCATTCCCACAAAGGGAAAGCAATGTTTCCAAAGAGGTTGGAGAATTCCTTAATTCATTATTGCATCTTTTTGAAGGGTTTACCTAGCTGATAATTTAACTTTATCCTGGGGGGGGGGGGTTGCCCAGCATCGTAGGGCCCCAGAGTACTTTTAAAGAAGAAAATTCCCATTTTTTCCTGTCAAACTTCCATTTCAATTTAAAACTCAGGCATTTTATTTTCCTGGAAGAGTTTTGAAACCACACACTATCGACGCAAAGTTGCCTTGCATATTAAATAACCTTACAATTTCGGCGCTATAAAAGCAGAAATATACTTACACACATATAGTAAACTATCTAATGGAGGCGCAATATTAATTTTCAGAGGTTCCAATGAGCTATTTGACCATCTGCGGACATGCGTTATACCCAACCCTGTTTTCCACCGAGAGTAATAATAATCTTCCCCACCGGGACCAAGCCTGAAAACACACTCCAGGAACAGAAGCGTAAACAGCAGCCTCCCCATTGCAAAGGGCTCCAAATGGGGGCCCAGCAAACACAAAGGGATGATGGATGGCACGCAGCAGTGACGTGGCAGAGGAGGCAGGCGCAGGACCCGGAGCCATACTGCTGTTGACGTGCAGCCTGGCTTCTTTTCCCCACCTCCTCGCGGGCTCTTCCACGTTGAACCCCCCACCCCCACCCCCAAATCTAAATATCCGCTGCCAGAACATACTGGCCACGCTTCTGCCTTTTCTCCTGCGTAATCTATTTTTACCTCCCTTTTGCACCCGCACTTATAGCAGTGCTGAGCGTGCCTTGCTCTCTTCCCGGGGGAGAAAAACCACTAGAGACGCTGCATTATTTTTCATGCCCCCCCCCCCCCCGTTCTCTCTCTCCTCGCCTTCCAATCAAAGCAGCAGCCAATGCTGCCGAAACTGGCTCTGCAGGGAAGGCTGGTGGACGTTTGAAAACCGTTTAAGAGACCTACCGACAACGCCATTAAGGGGAAGCTTCTCCCGTTCGGTCCCCAAGACATTCGACCCGAGTTTTCTCGATTTCCGCTAAAAAAGCGGCAATCCGAGGAAATTTGCACTCGGGAGACTATTGCTACTGAACGCTGCCTGTGACGCTTCCATCGGGAACCTCGGGAGCGCAAGGCTGCTCGGTCAAGAGCGGGGAAGAACCACAACTCCCTGTTTGAGGCTTTCCTTTTCCCAACAACACCAAGTTCGGTCCCCTTGTCCTCGCTAGGCTTCTCAGGTCCCCCCCCCCTTGCTACGAGATGGCACCTAGCGTAAAGCTTCCACGTTCAAGAACAGTTCTCGGGCCAATTTTGCACGGGCGGCGTTTGGGCTCCCTTATAGCCAAAGCGGTCCTTTACCTGCGCCTCGTTCCCACCTTCGCGGCCTCAGCAGGCGAGAGCCGCGGAGGGGACAGGCGATAGCCCTCCCCGCTCCCCACATATCCCATTCTTCTTCTTCCACCCCGGAAGGAAAGGGGTGGAGAAGATGCCCCAGGCAACTCCACCCCGCATTTTCTGCGCAAAGCGCAAGAGGAGGCTGGAGACCAGGAGGCCACCTTCCAAACTCACCTCGCTGGGATGTCCGCGCCGTTCGGTTCAGCGCGGCGGAGGACTCGACCAGGCAAGCCCGAACCCGACTCCGACCCCTTGGCGGCTGCCTCTTCAGCGCTTGCCGACGTGGCGCCCTACGCACCTCGCCCGTCCCCGCCCGCAGAACCCGCCCCAGGCCGGCCCCCGGCGCCCCCCGGCGCGGCTCTGGAGGGGCGCGCAGGCGCTTGAGCCTGACCGGGCCGTCTCGGAACTTGGGCTGCCTCTCTTCCCCTTCCACCTCTTCCTCCTCAGAGAGCGATGCTGCTAAGGAGCCAACGGCAGGAATGAAGTTGACAGCAGCGATCAATAATTCCTCTTCTCTCTGCTTCTTGTTTTACCTTGAGAGCCTTGCCGGGGCTGGAAGTTAATGGCAAGGATGTTGAGTAGCGACCTCAGCTCGTTGCAAATTGTTACCCCCTTCTCTCAAGGAGGCTCCTGACAGCTGCGTGTCAGGCAGAAGCTCGAAACTGCAACTGGGTCCGCTAAGAATTATGATCCCACTTTTGCCCTGAAGTTGCCAAAGGCTTGCCAGTAAAACCCGTCCCCGTGGGAGAGAGAGACCCGAAGGAAGAAAAGGGTGATGTTAGAATCCTGTGCTCCCGTGTCAAGGAGCTTTTGACAGACATATAGCTAGCGCTTGGAAATGGGGATAAGTCGTGGGGATGGGTGCTTTGAAACTGTTACTTAAAGATCCTGGAAAGTAGGAATAAACACTGGATAATTATAGATGAGATTCTGCATTGAAGAATAGAGGTGACCGATAGGCCTGTTGTTATTTCTTGTTCATGCACATGGTAAATATATATGTAACTTAAGCAAATACATCGAATATCTTCAATTAGTGTTTGTTGACTGGAATGTAGCAGTAGCCAGTAGAGTTTATGGGGTGGGATGTCTTTGAGGAGAGGCAATCTTTTTGAGCAGTAAGAATTGACAATTTCAGCAGCAGTGCTCTCCCAGACTCACAGATGCTTGGTTGCAACTTTCTGACAAATTGGTTTTCCTTTTCTCTCCCCCATCCCTTTCCCCCTTTTCTGTGTTTGCCTTTCTCTTATGAAAGTAGGCAATGTCTTTATTGTATTACTATCCTGAGAGCCTTTCCAACATGTGGGAAAACCGTTTACTGTAACCATTTAAAAAAAAAAAACAATAGTACAGCAAAGATAGAAATAGGATTGACAGCCAGTCATGGGCTGGAGATTGTGGCGTCACTTTGTACTCAGCAGAATTCATGTCATGTTAAACCTGAGGGCAAGTTTAACAATGACTGGTTGTGATGTTAGGATTTTTACTAGGGCCATGTGGTCTGAAAATAATTTGGAGAAACAATAACAAGGGTCCAGCCTCCATATATGCTCCACAGTTCTCACCTATACCTTAAAGCAGTTTGACTCTTCAAGCTTCTATGTGCCCCGAAAACAAACCTTACTACAGTTTAAAAGTTGCATTTATCTTTGCAACTAAATTGTGATAGCAGTTGTTCATTTTTCCAAACAAAACTCAGGCTGCTTTCTGGTAATTATCTGGTGGTCCTGGAGAATATAAAAATAGACCAAAAAAGGGAGATAAGAAATCACCCGGGAGGTCAATTGGATTAGCTTCCTGATGACAAACTTCTATGAGGCATACTAAAACAATGCCTAGGTTGGAAATCAGATTGGAATGATCAAAGAAGCAATCTCTGCACAGGATTGCTAGAAATCAGGCAAGATTTAGTTATTTTACACCCAAAGGCAAAAATTGATCTTCCTGATATGCAAGATGATTATTTTCAAACAAGAGAGCTGGTATTGCCTTCCCCAGTACAACAAGTACTTCTCCTTCTATAATTATATGTTTACAATGGGATTATTTTGGCTTGCTCAATCAAAGCTGGAAAAAATCCTGTGTACATATTACTGCATTTTATTTTTTCTAGAATGCTTAAAACACTGAAATTAGAAGTCAATTGACATTGATCCAGTCAATTCTGAAAGAACATATCCTTGAGAATTTCAGACAGAGCACCTTTTTCTTTAGTTGCAAAGTATGAACAATCTTCTCAGACTTACTAGACTTTCTAGTGAGGATTTGAATACAGGTGGTCCTTAATTGATGACCACTTGTTTCATGACCATTTGAAGTTACAATGGACCTCCTCAGAACTACTTACAATCTGGGTTTGAAGTTCTGACAGCTTCTCCCCCAGTCAGGTGATCACATTTTCAGCACTTGGCAACCAATCCACACTTACAACCATTTGCAGTGTCCCACGATCATGTGACCACGATCATGTGACTGGTGTTTTCTGATTTCCAGCAAAAAAACACCCATTAGTTAAAATAGGTTTGTTACAACCATGGCATTTGCTTAACAACTGCCTTAAAAATGATTGTTAAATCGGGCATGCCATAAGGTGTCCCGTTAGACAGATATGGTTTACGATTAATTCTGGACCCAATTACAGTCATCAATCGAGGACTCCCTATACTGAATTTATTTTAAAGGGTTCCTCCTACTCTTTGCTTTAGAGAATAGAGTAGTTATAGAAATCATATTATCTCAGCTCATAATTCCTCTTTGTATTGTCAAATATAAGATCTATCTGGAGCAAAGTCCCACAATTTAGATGAAATACAAATTCATTTTAAAAAGAACAACTCACATTCTTCATTATAATTCTCACATTAAGACATTTTGTTCTGTATTTATTGTTTGCAACAGGGCTGTCAAATTCGCAGCCCGTGAGCCAGATTGTGTCACGCACTGGCCATGCCCATGTCTGGTTTAGTTGCGATACATCTCATGACGATGCTGTGACGACACGAGTTTGACATCCCTACTTTAGAACATAGGGTAATAGAAATGGAAGGGATCTTGGAGGTTTTCTAATCCAACGTCCTGCTCAGGTATACCATTTCAGACAAATGGTCTGAAATGTCTCTATTTGAAAGCCTCCAGTGATGGAGCACTCACAATTTTTGAAGGCAAGCTATTCCATTGGTTGATTGCTCCCACCATTAGGAAATTTCTCCTTAGTTCTAGGTTGCTTCTCTCGTTGATTAGTTTCCAACCATTGTTTCTTGTCTTGCCTTTTGGAAAATAGTTTGATCCCCTCATCTTTGTAGGAGCCCCTTAAATATTGGAACAGTGCTATCATGTCACCCCAATCTTTCTTTTCATAGACTTACCCAATTCCTGTAACCGTTCTTTGTATGTTTAACCTCCAGCTCCCTAATCATTTTTGTTGCTCTTCTCTGCAATCTTTCTAGAATCTCAACATCTTTTATTTGAAAGATATTTAAAAATCAATTGGGTTCAAATGGACAATTTTAGAAATTGAATGACTGAATGACTGAATGACTGACTGACTGACTGAATGAATGAATGAATGTGGTATTTTGTTTTTTGGGGCTTTAAATAGACAATTCGGTGAATATCTATTATTTAAGGAACTCCGAATGAGTTCACAGCAGGGGTGAAATCCAGCAGGTTCTGACAGGTTCTGGAGAACAAGTAGTGGAAATTTTGAGTAGTTCGGAGAACCAGCAAATACTACCTCTGGCTGGCCCCAAAGTGGGGTGGGAATGTGATTTTGCTGTATCCTTCCCCTGCCACGCCCACCAAGCCACGCCCACAGAACAGGTAGTAAAAAAATTTGAATTTCATCACTGGTCCACAGTGCAAAATCAAAGTAGGGTGACTATCTTTTTCTGGACAATTGCATTGTACCATTAATAGCTGCATAGAATATGACAGCTTTCTATTGTTATCATTTTGGGCAACTTTCGTCCGGTCTCCAACCTTCTCTTTTTGGCGAAGGTTGTTGAGAGCGTGGTGGCACGTCAGTTTCCGGTGGCCCTGAATGAAGCAGATTACCTTGATCTGTGCCAATCGGGTTACAGGCCCGGTTACAGCACGGAGACGGCATTGGTCGCGCTGGTGGATGCTCTCTGGAGGGCTCGGGACAGGGGTCATTCCTCGGTCCTGGTCCTATTAGATCTCTTGGCGGCTTTTGATACCATCGACCATGGTATCATGCTGCGACGCCTCGAGGGGTTGGGAGTGGGCGGCACCATTTTATGGTGGTTCGCCTCCTACCTCTCGGGTCGTACGCCAGCTGTTACCTGGCTAACTATGAGAGACAGAAATACAGCAACTTCAGTTGCACAACACAGAGATCTGATAGTGACCTAGTGTGTTTAAAAGCACCAAAATATAAGAACTCTTTTATACTGTCAGTTAAATGGCCAAATATACATATGAAGATTTATATTTTTTTATTTTTTTATTTTATTTTTTATTTATTTATTTATTTATTTTTATTCTGTCATTTTTTAATATAAATGAGGTAGCACACTAGCATAATATTCCTACCTCCTCCTAATTTCCCCACACAACAACAGTCCGGTGAGGTGGGTTGAACTGACTGTCCCAAAGTCATCAAGCCAGCTTTCATGCTAAGGTGGGACTAGAACTCACAATCTCCTGGTTTCCTACATGGTGCCTTTTCCACTAATCCAAACAACCGCTATATACTAAATAGTTGATACTAAATTCCATCAAGTCACTAGTGTTTACAGATAATTCTCAACTTGCAACCACAATTGAACTCAATATTTCTGTTGCTAAACAAGGCAGTTGTT